AAAAAAAAGTCCAGCATGTTGAGAATGAGCAGTCTGTAGCACTCTGTGTTGCTTTGAAGGCAAACATATCTTGGTGCTTCATGAAACTACACTTGTTACATTTGATAATAGAACATCTTTTTGACATAATTTCCCCATAATAAAAATACCCATATTAGACAGAAAATGTAAGAAAATCAGCAGTGAGGGTATGTTCTGTGTAATACATATTCTCAGAAATGTGGAGAGAACCAATGATCTAGTAGTTAATTTAGTTGCAAAAAAACATTCAGATATCATGGGGACTGTCCATTACACATTTAGTCCTCCACAATTATGCAAGACTTAATTATTACTTTTCAGTTATAGGAAGGCTGCATGCTGTTGCCTTGGAATTACTGGATACATATGGCCAAGGTTTTCAAGAAGAAGCTAGTGATTTTGGGTGCCCAAATTGAGACACCTACAAGGGGCTTGATTTTCAGGAAGTGCAGAACACAACCTCTGGGAAGAAAAAAAAATAGCCAAGCCAAGCTCTTTCAAAGTCTCAGTTTGGGCACCCACAATCACTGGTCTCTTTTTTGATAATCTCAGCCATATATATGTGCCAAACAACAAGTTGAAGTCACTCAACCAAAGGGGTTAAAGTCTGAAAACCTGCAAAGCCCTAACAAACCTAAGCTACAGTGACTGGAAAAAACTCCTCTATAAATGTCTACATTTATAGAATATAGACGTCATACAAAGAGACCTTTATATCTGATGCCTGTATCGCATACTTGACTCCTGCTCGATGAAATAAATCTATCCTTTCACTAGTCTTCTAGCTGGGGCTTCAAATCAGCCTTAGTGCCTACAAAAGAAGGAAGAAAGTAGTAAACCAAGAAGGAGAGATAAAAAGCAAAGAAATAACAGATTAAAAGTAAAACAGCAGCACAACTGAAGAAAATTCTGAAGGAGAACCGAGAAGAGACATGTACAAATCAGTCACCATTTTATACAACACAGGCCAGATCCTCTGCCTATCTGAGCAGAAACAGTGGATTTGCTCTGCTGAGGATTTCCCATTGTTTATGGGCATTGCCAGGAGGTAAAGAGCCCTGAGGTGGGGGCCTGGCCAAAGGAGAAAGAGTATGGCCTTTGCATTCCACCAATTCCTGACTGCTATAGTGGCTGCATGAGGACCATTACCAGTCTGCAAAATGCTGAGCAGCCCTAAAGCTGCTCTAAATTGAGCCTCAATTGGACAAGTGCCCATAGGTCTTCGAACTGGGCAGGCTCAAGTAAGGGTGACTTAAAGCCCCACACTTCTGAACTGTACTGGACCACAGAAGAGACCTGGCCCTCATGTGTATTTTTTTTTTTTTTAACTAAGAAAGGACTTCCATTTTTTTATTTTCTACCTTTTGTTTCCCCATCATTTTCTATTTTATGTGCATGTTAACAAACTGTTTGCTGGAATTTTATCCTTTTTTATTTTAAAATTTTTAAACAATTATTTAAGTTGTTTATCATATCATCCAAATTCCTTTTAAAATACCATACTAAACTTAAGGCTCTGTCCTGATATTCCTGGAAGTACTACATTCCCATGTTGAGACTTCTGGCAATGATGCTACAAAGCTGTGATTCACTATAGCTGTAAGCATGAATTTTTGGAATGTTCAGTTCCATTTCTACTTAAAGTAAAACCCAAATCATCTGCCACAGCAAGTTTGGAAATTAATAATCTAATATGAACAACTTCAGTGTTCGTGTTGTGACTAAGTCAAAAAATTAAGATTAAGCATATACATGAAAATAAACACTGAGTGAAACTTAACTTTGACTGTTTATTTTAATCAGATGACCAGTTAGGATATTTGCAATCTGTATGAAATTAACCAGAACAGAAAATGGAAACTGAGCAACATCTTATTGGCTGTGACTTTTAAGCAATACTCATGCTGTTTATTATACACAGAAACACACAAAACACTTACCTGATTAATAGCAAAAAAAATGCTGTCATAAACATCCTGCTGTGTGTATACACTGCAACTATAATCATCTTCATCAACCCCAGAGTAGCCTTTCAGAAACAGATGCTTAAAGGCAATAGTGTTCTCCTCTTTGAAGGAAACCACCAACTGGTTACTCAAACCAAAAAGAATAAGCTAAAAAATTAAAAAATAAAAAAATTAAAAATTCAAGTTAGAATACAATTCCATCATTAACATACTAATGATAGTAACACAGCAATTAACATCTTCAAGTTGTAATTAGTTGTAATTAGCACAAATTGGAAAGTAAGAAGTTTCTGTATTGTGTCAATACCAGACTCCTTAAAAAAAAAAAGCAAGTTAACATTACAAGTAGGGCTGTTGCATGATTAAAAAATTAATCACGCGATTAATCACACTGTTAAACAATAATAGAATACCATTTATTTAAATATTTTGGATGTTTTTTACATTTTCAAATATATTGATTTCAATTACAACACAGAATACAAAGTGTACAGTGCTCACTTTACATTTATTTTTGATTACAAGTATTTGCACTGTAAAAAAAAAAAAAAAATCAAAAGAAATAGTATTTTTCAATTCATCTCACACAAGTACCGTAGTGCAATGTCTTTATCATGAAAGTTTAACTTACAAATGTCGATGTTAAAAAAAAAATTAATTCAAAAATAAAACAATGTAAAATTTTAGAGCCTGCAAGTTCACTCATTCCTACTTCTTGTTCTGCCAATCGCTCAGACAAATAAGTTTATTTACATGTGCAGGAGATAACGCTGCCCACTTCTTGTTTACAATGTCACCTGAAAATGAGAACAGGCATTTTCGTGGCACTGTTGTAGCGGGTGTTGCAAGATATTTATGTGCCGAATGCGGTAAAGATTCATATGTCCCTTCATGCTTCAACCACCATTCCAGGGGACATGCGTCCATGCTGATGACGGGTTCTGCTCGATAACAATCCAAAGCAGTGCAGACTGACGCATGTTCATTTTCATTATCCGAGTCAGATGCCACCAGCAGAAGGTTGATTTTCTTTTTTGGTGGTTCGGGTTCTGTAGTTTCCACATCGGAGTGTTGCTCTTTTAAAACTTCTGAAAGCATACTCCACACCTTGTCCCTCTCAGATTTTGGACGGCACTTCAGATTTTAAACCTTGGGTCAAGTGCTGTAGCTATCTTTAGAAATCTCACACTGGTACCGGCTTTGTGTTTTGTGAAATCTGAGTGAAAGTGTTCTTAAAATGAACATGTGCTGGGTCATCATCCAAGACTACTATAACGTAAAATATATGGCAGAATGCAGGTAAAACAGAGCAAGGGACATACAATTCTCCCCCAACAAGTTCAGTCACAAATTTAATTAACGCATTAATTTTTAACAAGCATCATCAGCATGGAAGCATGTCCGCTGGAATGGTGGCTGACACATGAAGGGGCATACGAATGTTTAGTGTATCTGGCACATAAATACCTTGCAATGCCGGCTACAAAAGTGTCATGCAAAATGCCTGTTCTCACTTTCTGTTGACATTGTAAATAAGAAGAGGGTGGAATTATCTCCTGTAAATGTAAACAGACTTGTTTGCCTTATGGATTGGCAGAACAAGAAGTAGGACTGAGTGGACTTGTAGGCTCTGAAGTTTTACATTGTTTTGTTTTTGAGTGCAGTTGTGTAACAAAACAAGACAAAAAACCCTACATTTGTAAGTTGCACTTTCATGACAAAGAAATTGCACTACAGTACTTGTATGAGGTGAACTGAAAAAAATACTATTTCTATCATTTTTACAGTGCAATAATAATTTGTAATAAAAAAATTATATACACTTTGATTTCAATTACAACACAAAATACTGCTAATGAGTTAACTGCGATTAATTGACAGCCCTGATTACAATATATAAGATCACAAAAGAATAGTAAAGGGTCTCTTTTGCCAAAGCCTAGAAAACAAAATCCCACTTTGCATAAGCTGATGCAAGCTGAAAACAAGGGAAGGAAAAATACCGTTTACTTCACTGACATGCATGCCATGAAATACTGAAACTCCTACTACTTTATTTTGGAGCTTAGCCACTTAATGCATAATCATTATCGAGTACAGCCCAGGAGATGCATTTTCACTTCTTTTAACTACATACACAGTAATGTATTCATAGTGCAAGCGCTTGAAACTATTTGAATCGGAAAAGCTAAGAGCTTTCTGTGGAAAATGCAAAAGCAATTCATTCACCTCATGCCCTCCCTGAGTAGGAGATAAGTCATTCAAATCTAAGAAATCACTTTGAATTTGAAGAGCTTTGATGATTAAAAGTACAATTATAGTAAATCAAGTTGACAACAAATAACAATGTGGTTTCAAGTTTATCGCACAAACACTTCCTTATGAAATCTACTTAGTTTTTTCTAACTCACCCTGAGATCTGAATGTCAAGATGTGTTCTGTCACTTACATCATCAGTAATAAGGTTTCTGTAATTAGAATTTAGCTGACAGTTTTGTTGATGATGCAGGACACAAAATAGAATCCAGTCCACTAATCCATAGCAATGCAGAGCTTTTATAGATAACAGTATTTAAAAAATTGTTTTTGTCTGTAATGCAATAAGAATCTGAATACACATGGGGACAGAGCTATTGATGAAACACTTGCTATTTTTACTGAGCCAGTTTCCTATCATCACACTAACACCCCTTTTAAAAACAATTTTCATGAGAAAAATGTAAGTGGTTTACTCCACATATATTTTGGCATGAAAGAAGAACAGTGTAAGGTAATTGGAATCTCACAGTGGAAGAGCAGAAAAAGGAGAGAGCACAGGAAGGAACCCAGAGCTTGAAAAATAAACGCTCTTACTTGTTAGTGGCAAATATGAAGTGTTTGGACCCAGCTGTTTCTGCATAATCTAACCTTTCACTGAAGAAAAAGAGTACTAGCCTGAAGACAGAACTGCATTAAGGAGGCTGTCTTCCTGAGCCTGCAGACATCTCTCATTTGTCTGCTGCTAAGCACTGCACCAGAATGAAACAAAACTATTCAGAACCCCATGGGCACCATTGAAAGTGACAAAAATGAAGTTAATTGCATAAAGGTGCTGCTTGGAGAAGCTATAATTAGCAGCAGAGGCAGGGGCTGAAGTTGTTCATGGAGATTTATGTAGACTAGCAGAGATTCCCCATATCCCTTCCATAAGTCAAAGGCCAATACATAAATGGACCCTCTGAACGGAGATCCCAAGTGATAGGAATCCTAGCACTCTCCCCAAACCCCACAGCAAGGGTGTAAGGGACCCAGAGTCCCACCAGAGCATTGTCTCTTCCTCCCTAGTTTTCATCTCAGCCTCTGATTAAAAGGTTTAGTTTTTTGGCTAGGCCATGTATAATTTTTCAAGATCTACAAGAAACCAACTGAACGAGGGAGGAGAGGGAAAGTACAAAGAAATCCCCACTAAAAGGTAAGCAAGCCCCTATTCTTGTTCCTAGCATTAACAGTATATGAAATCTGAATTTACTGTCTAACAGGCTCTCTTTAAATAGAAAAATAAAATCTATTTTTTCCCCTCCAGTGAGTACTTTCTTGTCTCTCCTAGATGGTAACTAGTTAGCTCTGGGCTAAATGAGTGCACAAAGCAATGCTATTCACAGTGAACTATTTATGTAATGTGGCAGGATGACCAGAACAGGGGATTCCAGGTCATCAGTGCCTGGTTATATCCACACAACCTTTAGAACAAGTGTTGAATTCTGGCCAAGAAGTTTGCAAGATTCTTCAGGGGATTTAGCAGGAGTTCTACTTAGATGCTCTTTGGATTGCAAAACTGTTAACGTAAGTTCTATGAATGAATTCATGGCAATTTCTAGCTAATATCAGTAAATTAGAACCTTTCCCCCCAAGTACTGTAAGGAAGAAAAGAAAAAGGAAAAAAAAAAAAAGGACTGTCAGTCTTGATTTGGGGGGCCCTAACACCACTTTGCACTAAAATATACTGATACTTGGACAAAAGTCACTTCTGCAATCCAGCAGAGAAAGGACAAATTGCCTTCATCTTACCATATGGAAGGAGTCACTCCAATTAACCGGCTTAACATACTGAAACTCAGTGGTTTCTCAGAGTCAGACAGCTAGTGACAGGGATACTCTTGTAAGAATAAGCATAAAGTACACCAAAGTCACCCCAGGGAGCTTGGCCTCATTCCAAAACTCAAGCATGCTCATTAGGACCTGCCCATATGCCCGCTACAAGTGTGCAAGACTGCCCCCTTTAAGTAGCAATGTACTTCCCTTCAGTGATTTTGTTGCTTCCTCATCCTGGCTACCCAATCAGCTGCTGAACATGGACCAGAAGTGACAGCCACTTTAGGGTGACCAGACAGCAAATGTGAAAAATCAGGACAAGGTTTGGGGGGGTAATAGGACCCTATATAAGAAAAAGACCCAAAAATCGGAACTGTCCCTATAAAAATCGGGACATCTGGTCACCCTACAGCCACTTCACTGCACCGCTAAAAGGTGCCAAAAAAAGCCCAGGTACCTGAATTGGCAGTGGCCTCAGAAAGCAAATCAGCACTGCATCTCTTCTGCCCCAGGAGAGTCAGGCCTAACACAGAGACCAAGCAGAGGACAGACTAGGACAGCAAGCATGGCAATCCAGAAGTTTAATCACCAGCACAGGCACTAATGCTTGTGGGTTAGGATGGACTTTGAGTGATGGTGAAGGGTATGGGATGGATTAGGATGGGCTTTAAAGCTGTGTGTTGCCTCATTCCACTCATGATTAAACCCCTGTGTATAAGAGCTAGAAGGTAGTGCAATAACCGGTGTCTCCCTGACCTGGACAATGGGAAAAGGCTTTGACTAACAGCTCCGTAGAATCAAGCAAGACAATATTACCTCTTAGCTTCTGATAATATTCTGAAAAAACCCTGGTGGAATTGGTATCATCATGGCTGTGCCCATACTAGTCTTCTCCACGCCACCTCACGCAAAGAAGTCCCGCCCACTGCTCTCAACAGCAGCAGAGCTCCACTAGCAATTGCGGGAGCACTAGTGTATACAGGACTTCAGTTGCCAGTGTCATTTTAGTCTGTCTTGTCTAGACAGCATAGTTAGAATACCAATCATTGCCCGGAGCTCTGTCTACATTAGTGCTCCCTCCACTGCTACTCCTGCACTGATGTTCGCAATGGTGGAGAATTTATTTTTTTAAGAAAGGCTGAGATCACCCTCTCTGGCTAGAAGGGGTCTGGAGGATATTAGCCAGAGGTAATATCTGAAGGTGTTGCTTGATTCTGGCAAGTCTGTTAATTTCAGACATTGACCCCTGAAGCTCAGTGTATACAGTAACTCCTCGCTTAACGTTGTAGTTATGTTCCTGAAAAATTCAACTTTAAGTGAAATGTTGTTAAACGAATCCAATTTTCCCATAAGATTTAATGTATTTGCTGGAGGTTAGGTTCCAAGGACATTTTTGGGGGGCAGACAAAAGGCATTATATATTGTACAGTACTGTACTGTGGCTGGGAAGTGCCCCTGGCTTACCTCACACAGGCACAGCCCACTGCAGGCAAGGACGCTAGGAAGCACCTTCGCAGCAGCAGCTTCCCCGGAGAAGAACAGGCACCGGGAGATGCTCCGGGCCCAACTCTTACCACCCCCCGCTCCACTCCAGGCCCACCTCTTTCCACCCCCACTCCACCTCCTCTCCGGAACACGTCACATCCCCGGTCCTTCCCCCCCACCCCAGAAAGTCCTAAGTGCCTTAGGACTTTCTGGGAGGGAGGGGCAGGAGCAGAGACGCGACGCTTCCCCACTCCTCCCCCTCCCTCCCAGCACTTCATGCTTAGGACTTTCTCGGAGGGAGGGAGGGAAGAGGGGGGAGTGGGGAGACAGCACTTCCCAGCTCCTCCCCTTCCCTTCCAGAAAGTCCCAAGGACGGGGAAGCGCTGGGAGGCAGGGAGGGGCGGCGGAGAAGAGGAACTTGTACAATGCTCCCTTGTAAAGTCGCTGTAAGATTCTGTGGAAGAGCAAGCAGTGGACAGAGCAGGCAGTCAAACAACATTATAAGGGAGCATTGCACAACTTTAAACGAGCATTTCCCTAATTGAGCAACAACATAACTTTGAAACAACATTAAGCGGGAGGACGTTAAGTGAGGAGTTACTGTATTTCAGAGCTATATATTTAATGCCACTTTGTTAAATCTCACACTTGAGATTCCTGCATTTTAGAGATCAAAACAAATCACTGATTTATGCACAAATTAATGCACTGTCTAATCAAAATCCTGAGCCACTCTCCCCAAGTGATTAACTGCCTAGTCAACAATCTGCTCTTGCCAATCAGAAGAGCATTTGCAAATACAAACCAAACATTCAGAGTTGTTGGTTACATTAATAATGCAGGCTCTACAGTTGCTGGATTCGAACTCTGATGACAATACCAATACATTGGCCTCAGGAGATGTGGGGGTTATGTGCAGTGAAGAGCAGAAGGTGCAAAGAGCATGCCACAGCACTGCCAATGAAGCCAAACAATTCAGAACCATATGATCCACAATGAGGTGCTTGATTTAGAGGGAAAAGATTGTTTTGAAACAAATGTCTTTGGCAGTATCTGACCTACTATTTCAGTTAACCCCTCATTGAAATTGCTCCAGTTAGCACCAAGGTGGTGACCAAAGAACATTAGGAGTTTAGTTTATATTATTGTTTTTTCCCACCACATCCACTCCTACTCCTTTAAGAGTGTTCTTTCCTCACCTCTGATCTTGGACTTTTTTTCCAGGAAGGAAGTTTAGATAGTTAAAAGAGTAACCAAAAGAAGCAATACTCCAAGACCATTGATTTGTTGCTCCACCTACATGTTTTTGTAAGAACATAAATATATATATATTTTACCTGTGTGGTAACCATAACTATCTTTAGAATCTGCAAACCTAGTTTCCATGGGATTTGACGTCTGGCTCTGTATTTTTCACATGGGTTCATGAAGTAAAACTTCAAATCCTTCTTTAGAGCATCCTCTTCTAGATCTGAATCTGGTTGAGCCATCATACGTCTGCCATAAATAATATGTTCATTAGAAACCCACAGAATGTCTTGGCAGACACTTTACATACATTACAGATTCATCTCACAGATCTGTTTGACTTAGAGGTCTATACAAACTGGAATGAAGTTTTTAACAGTAAAATTGAAGAGACATTCTCCTATTACAGTGTAGTTACCAAACCTATTTCATCACACTATGCTATCCCAACTGCACATCTCAACACAGCATTTAAATGACTATTCTCCAAAATACCTCCGCCCAATAAAGTGATTTTATATTCATTATACAGGTTAGTAAATGTTTTTTTTTAAAATCTATTCATTAAATCTAAACATTTTGAAGCATTTTGTTTATATAAACCACAACCTTCCTTTAACCTTTAAACCCCTATAGAAAAGTACTCAGAGACCAAAGGTCTAGGCTTTGAAGCACACTGACAAAGCAGCGTGGGAAAACCTGCACTTTCACTTCCTGTGCATAAGTATATTTTTAGTTTAAGGGCCCATCAGTTGGGCACTTTTTACAAGCACTAAATTCACTATAAAACCAAACATCTCCAAACACACCAAAACATCATGTTTTAAATATAAACAAACAAGATGTACACATTCTTTGGTGTCATATATAGTAGCACATTCAATTCACTTGTAGAAACTGATGTAGAGTGAAAAAGTAAGAAACTTTTCTTTCCTCTTCTCACACTTCCTCACCTTTATTTCAAATGCAGCAAGTGCTGACTTCCTGTTTAAGTCTTAAAGATCTGAACTCAACTTGTAAATTTTTTCTAATTAAAGACAATTTCATTTGTAAGTACAAAAAAGTAACATGTTCTCTTGCTCCCGTTAGACTTTCAGAAAAATATTTCCAATATCCAAAGTTATATATTAGGATAGCAATTTCCCAGTCTTGGTTGACACTTGAAAAATACATATTTAAAGTTTTCAAACATGCATTCATTCATATCTGATCTTCATTTGATCTGGTCTATATGCAATGTATAGTGTACTTACAGTACGTTATAGAATTCAGAACTGTATGTTGCATGAAGTATACCCCCACAAAACAACCAACCCTCTTCTCAAACAGCAAGAGTGTAGAAGTAATTTTCAAGTCTAGGAGGAGCAGTACAGTACCACTCCCAGGTAAGCAAGTAAAAACAGATTTTATCACTGAAGTCCAAAGGTTACGTTTATTATACAGTGACTGATTTTATGGTACAATTAAAAAAAAAGGAGAGGTGAGGAGTTCAGTCCAGTAGAATTATAAAGATGCTAAGAGAGCTTCAGAAACATCAGGGGGGAGGGCGAAATCAGAAAAAACTAATTTTAAAGTTTCCCTAAGAAAAACAAGGCACCAAGCTGGGCTAGTTTTAACCATGTTAGGAAAGTGGTTAAAGGGATATCAACATGAAAACACAGATTTCTGCCTGAAAAATGTATACCTAGTGTAAGTTACCAGAAACATTTAAAGATTGCTTTTAGATATCGTAATTAGCAAAACAAAATTGTTTTTTCAGTTTGCATCCTTTGGGCATTTGACAGCAATCTGTGTCTAGTAAGATACTGAAAAGAGCTTTATAAACCTCAACAAGGTTTTTTTAAATGAATATTTCTTTAAAACCTCAGGACATACTATTTGGAGAGAGGTTCTTCGTTTTGTTTTATGTTCACCTATCTAAAAAACATCAAGTTGATTAATAAACAATAATAATAGCACTTTCACTCTTTTGTAGCCCTTTCCATCCAATAATCCTTAGCCCTAATCGCCACAGATTTTTACTGATACCATCAGCTTCCCTTATTCATTGTCTGCATTTTCTAACTGCTGGTTTGTAAGGTTAAGGAAAATAACAAGGAAGTCTTTGAAACATATGAAACCTATGGAACATATGAAATCCTACCAATGGCACTGGTCCAATATTAGATAAAGATGGTAAAATTGTCTATCATGATAAAGAAAAGGCAGACCTATTCAATACACATTTCTATTCTGTATTTTGAAAGAAGCAGGATGAAGTATTAATATTTTACAGTGTTAGTAAAATACTTGCTAAGGAGGATGTTACACAGCAGCTGTTATAATTGCATATTTTTAAATTTTCACGACTGGATAACTAGCACACAAGAGAATTATAAGAATAGGTCAAGGAGCTCTCTGAACCATTAATGTTAATTTTTTAATGAGTATTGAAGGAGTAAGGAAATTCCAGAGAACTGGAAAAAACTAATCTCATACCAATATTTAAAAAGGGAACTGACAAAGGCAAAATATTGGAAAGACAGATGCAGAATGCAATTAATAAAGAATTACATAATTTTTTTTTTAAGATCACAAATTTGGTTGACAAAGGTAGCCATGTTGACATAACAGATTTCTGTAAGGCATTTGACTTAGTCCTGCATGATGATTGATTAAAAAAAATTAGCACTATGCAAAAATCAGGGAAGAGGGTGCTTCTAGTGGGGTTCCAGAGGGATCCCTATTCTTGGCCCAATATTATCCAATGTCTTTATCAATTATTTTGGAGACAACATTAAATCATTGCTGGTGAAGTCTGTATATGACACAAAACTTGATAGAGTAGTAAATAATGATAAGGACAGCTCAGATATATAGACTGGCCTCAATCGCTTGCTAAGGTGGTCTCATTTGAACATGCATTTTAATACAGCCAAAATCAAGGTCATATATCTAGATACAAAGAAATTTTGCCCAAAGTCTCACAGGTAATTCTGTGTCAGTCAGGAATAAAATGCATGTCTCCTCTTTTTTAGTCTTATGCTTCAACATGACTGTCCTCTTGTTATTAAGTACTGCCATGATAAGAAGTTCTGTGCTTAATGACTTTAACTAACATATACACCCTCCCCCCACAGACGCCAATCTAGCACAAATGGATTTGTTTACATTACAAAATTTTATCATGTTCAAACACAATTATGAAGAATTTAGATAAGCTTACAGAATGCTAACCATAATAATAGTGATGACACCTAGCTCTTATACAGCACTTTTCATCAGTAGATATCAAAGCGCTATACAGAGAAATTGACACACACAGAGGTGAAGTGTCCATGACTGACAGTTAGCATAGCCCAGAGTAAACCACGTTCAATGTCAGCTAATTGTAATTAAATGCAGCTAGTCACTATTTGCCCTCATCTATGAAGACCGCTCAGTCATAGTCATGTTTTATCAAATAATTCAACTTTTCTCAGTGCTATTTGAACATAACATGTTACAGGGTAGACAAGGTCAGTGTGGACAGAGCTGTTGCAGCATCAACTGTGGCAGTCTGAGACCGCCTCTGGCAGGATTCAAGCCTGGTTTTCAGACACAATTGTAATAGGGTCTGTAATGGTGTTGCATGAACACAAGGAATGTTCTAACATTAAAAAAAAAAAGTTAACAAATCCTAAGGAGGATGGGGCCTAAGCTTACTGCAATCTTAATTTCTGCAGTACAAACCAGAAGTGCTTCGAGATATATTGTCACTCTTTAATTAGTTTGCTTTGATCCTCTCTCACAGTACATTTGACTATAAATAGTCAATAAACTGAACTACTATGAACATCCTCCTGAAAGAGGAATTACTGGATCCAAAGGTCTCCATGGTTGTGCATTAGCAACACAAACAGAGGTGGCCACCTATCTCATGACTGAAAACATTACACTGAAAGAGACAACTCTGTGCTCTGGTGTTAGAGAAAACAGTGGTTTCCGCCAACCCCCAGCACTGGCTCCTCTCCTCAGCCCCACACAAGAAGCTGCTTTGAGCTGAATCCTGCAGCAATACTGCCATGGGTGAGGGGAATGGGGATGAGCATGGATGGATGGATGCAGTATGTGGAAGGAAACAGGCCCAATGGGCAGAGCTGCTCTAGTAGAAACAATAAATTGTTTCAGGAAGGAAATGTAACACACACGGTTAAAAATACACTGGGTGAAAGCTTTTGTTGTTGTGGTTGCTGCCGCTGTTCAGATGCAATTCCTAGACCATTAAAATCCCTTTGCATTGCCTCTAATTTTCTGTCTCCTCCACTTCAGCAAATTTCAAATGCCTTGGGGTGCCCAGAGAAATGTAAGAGCATCTAACCAGTTCCAGGGGAACCTTGGCATCTGCACAGTGAGGGCTTGATTCTGATCTCTCTGTACATAGTTCTTATGCTGGTTCCAACTCCATGGACTTCAGTGGAACTACTCCTGCCTCATATCAGCACAAGTGAGAGAAAAGTCAGGCCCAGAGTCCTTTCAAGTGTCAAGTAAAATATATCTACCACCACCCAAAAAAATCCACCTTAAACAAATAAATGTCCTTACCCCTATTACTAGCAATACTTTCCATCCTAAAAGCTGCACAAGCTTTAAGGAGCATTTAAAAGTCTTGTTTCGCCTCCTTTTTGGCGGGGGTGTCATTTACTAGTTGCATCATGCTCAGCTGGGGCCAGCAAAGCTTAGGACATTGCAAGGGACCCTCCTGCCCATGCACTGGAGAGCAGCGTTATGATCAATAACATCGGCTGCTCAGGTTTGCTCCCCAAGTCGCAGGCACTGTTGGGGGGCAGGCGGGATTTTAAAACCCAAACCTCTGAACTCTCACTGATGTAAAAGTCAAGTCACTCCGGTTGGGCAGCTTCAATGGGAAGAGCGACGGGGAGGCTCCCCGAGGGCCCCTCAGTGACAGCCAAGGGGGTGACGGGTCCCCAGCCCCCTGAAGAACTGCCTAGCTCGTGCCTGATCCCCAGCCCACCCGTGGCCACCGAAGCGCCACGCTCCCAGGTAGCCCCCAGCCGCCCGCTCACCTGGTCACCAGCGTCCGGCCCCTGGCCACATACCCCACCGACAGGTCCATGGCGCACGCCGGCCGCGGGGCCCCGCCGTGGCCACTGCTGCCCGGAGCGGCGCGCTCGCAGCGGGGCGCCGGACCCATGCAGCTCCCGAGCAGGCGGGCGGGAAGCAGGCGAGCCGGGGCAGCCGAGCTACGCCACCGCAGCCGGATCCGCGGTCACGTGGCGCCCCAAGCGAGTCCGGAACGGAGAGTAACGGGGCGGAGGCGCCTGGCGCCTGCAGCCCTAGGCATTGGCAGCGCTCGGGGCTTCCGAGGAGCCGGAGAATCCCCCAGACGCCCACCCCCCGCGGCAAGGAGCGCGCGCCTTGGTTTTAAAGCGGGAGCCTTGAGCTGGGGCTCGCAGCGCTCTGCAGGGCTGGGACGCGGTTTGCGGCTGCCGGAGTCCGTTGCTTCCCACGTGCTGCTTGCTTGCCCCTCAAACCTGCTGCCTGCGCCGCGAGCGGCAGCCTCGCCCAGCGCCCCGGCCTGGGTGTTCATTTCCGATCCCCAGGTCGCCTTCCCCAGACCCCCGCGCTGCACCTTGAACGGGCGCAAATCCGCGCCTGTTAGCAGCGCTAGGGGCTGGCCTTCACTAGCACATCAGTCACTCAGAGCTACTAGGGCTTGGCTCCCCTGCAACAGGCAGGACCCAGAGTGTTCCAGTCCCGCTAGCCTGGGGCCGCCAACTTTCAGTCACAACATTTGCACGTGGCAAGCCGGGCCCAGCAGCCAAGCTAAGTGCGTGCCCTGGGAGAGCACAGGGAGTAACCACACCTCCAACCAACACTCCCGATTACACGGAGCGATTGGATTAGCAATTGGTAACTCAGGCTGCAGCTGGAGACTGGCTCTGTCCCCAGGGGGGGCACTAGCTGGCTAAGGTTATGTCTTCACTAGCAAATGTTGCAGCTGTACTGCTATAGCACCTCCCTAAGAGGCGGTAGCTACATTGAGGGAAGCTTTTTTCTGTTGACCTAGCATTGTCATGACCAGGGGTAGATGGTCTTAAATACCTCTCTCAGGGATGTGGATTTTTCACCCTCCTGAGCAACATAGCTGGGTCTGCCTACGGTTGCCAACTTCTCTGGATTGACCGGGAGTCTACCGGAATTGGCATCGATCTCCCAATGACTATTGAAAGCGATCCGGGAGATTTTAATAAGTTGCTGAATGTCCGGTTGGCGGCACAGCAGGGCTAAGGCAGGCTCCCTACCTGCCATGGCTCCCGGAAGTGGCCGGCATATGCAGCTCCTAGGCGCAGGGGAGGCCAGGGGATCTCCGCACATTCCCCCTGCCACAAACACCGACTCCGCAGCTCCAATTGGCCAGGAACCGGAGCAGCAGGGGTGGTGCCTGCAAACAGGGGTTAACCCACACACCTCCTAGGTGTGGTGTTCTATCCCATCTAGTGGCACCAAGACCAATTAGAGCAAGGGAGGGCAAACTTACAGCCCATGGGCCAGATCCGGCCCATCAGGGCTTTCGATTTGGCCTGTGGGATTGCCAGCTCCGTGGCATAGCAGGGCTAAGGCAGGCTCCCTGCCTACTCTGGCCCTGCACCGCCCCCCACAGATCCCATTGGCCAGGAACAGGGAACCGCAGCCAATGGGAGCTTCCGGGAGGGTACCCAGGAGCCACTGCCGGACATGCTGGCCACTTCTGGGAGCAGTGCGGGGACAGGGACAGGGAGCCTGCCTTCAGGCCCGGCTCCAGAGTTTTGGCTGCCCCAAGCAGCAAAAAAAAAAAAAAAAAAAAAAAGCCGCGATCGCAATCTGTGGCGGCAGTTCGGCAGGAGGTCCTTTGCTCCGAGCGGGAGTGAGGGACCGTCTGCTGAATTGTTGCCTAATAGCTGGACCAGCCGCCCCTCTCCAGAGCGGCCGCCCCAAGCACCTCCTTGCCAGGCTGGTGCCTGGAGCCGGCCCTGCCTGCCTTAGCCCCACTGCGCACCGCTCCCACACCGGAGTGGCTCGAGGTAAGTGGCGCCAGGCCAGATCCGCGACCCCCTTCTGACAACAAAAAAAGATCCCAGGAGGAGGGACTGAACCTGAGCCTGCCCGAGCCCCGCCGCCCCGGGCCAGGGGGCCAAAGACAAACCCCAAGGGCTTCAGCTCTGGGGAAGGGGGACTAACCAGAGCCCTACTCCCCAGGGCTGAAGCCAAGGCCTGAGCTCTGCCACCCAGGGCTGAAGCCCTTGGGCTTTGTCCCCAGGCAGTAGGGCTGAGTCTTAAGCTTCAGCCCTGGCAACACCATTAAAATGGGGTTGTTGACCCTCTTTGGGGTCTTGACCCAGTTTGAGAACTGCTGCTCTATAGCCTTAGTTAAGAGCCACATGGCTTTTAGTTCATGCAGTAGAGGCTCATGCACTAAGCTCCAGAGGCCCGAGGTTCGATCCCGCCCGCTGATGACTGGGTCTGTCGGCATTACAGGGGCAGCACATGAAGCCACTTAGCTGACCCTGAGCCTAGGAGCCAGAGGGACACGCCAGTTGCTTCTGGGAGCCGCCCAAGGTAAGTGCCGCCTGCTCCTTAGCCCCCTCCCGGAACCCACATCCCTCACGCCCTCCTGCACTCCAACCCTGAGCCCCCTCCTGCAACCAAACTCTCTCCCAGAGCCTGTACCCTGAACCCCCTCCTGCACGCCATTTCATTTCTTGCCCCACCCTGGAGCCCTCACCCCCTTCCATACCCCAATACCTTACCCCCCTGGTGAAAGTAAGTGTGGGGGAGAGCAAGCGATGGATGGAGTGGGCACGGGGCCTCAGAGAAAGGGCAGGTAGGGTGACCAGATGAGAAAATATCGGGACACATGGGGGGGTGGTTGCCGGCAGAGCAAAAAAACGGAGTGCCGCGACATATCAGGACAAATTATGTCCCGACCAAACATTGGTCCGGACGCGGGACAAATGCCTAAATATTGGAACAGTCCCAATTTTATCGGGCCGTCTGGTCACCCTAGGGGCAGGGTAAGGGTGTTCGGTTTTGTGTGATTATAAAGTTGGCAACCCGAAGTCAACCTAACTTTTTACTGTTGAGCTGGGCTAACTAGCTCTAGTTTAAAGATCCACTTACTTTGAGCTAGAAATGTGCGTGTGGACAGGAATCAGGTTTCTGGGAAACCTATGAGCTAATACTTCAACAAAGACAAATAGCTGGACTGCGATCTCTTCGGGGCAGGGGCCGTGTTTTGTTCTGTGTTGGTGTAGTGCAGGGGTGGGCAAACTTTTTGGCCCGAGGGCTACATCTGGGTATGGAAATTGTATGGCAGGCCATGCATGCTCATGAAATTGGGGTTGGGCTCCGGCTGGGGGTGCAGGCTCTTAGGTGGGGCTGAGGATGAGGGGTTTGGGGTTCAGAAGGGTGCTCCAGACTGGGACCGAGAGGTTCAGAGAGTGGGAGGGGGATCAGGAGTGGGGCATCTCGGGTGCAGGCTCTGGCCAGCGCTTACCTCAAGCAGTTCTCAGCATGTCCACCCTCCACCTCCTATGCGGAGGCGCGGCCAGCCGGCTCTGCTGCATGCTGCCTAGTCCGCAGGCACGGCCCCTGCAGTTCCCATTGGCCAGGATTCCTGGCTAATGGGAGCGGCGGCAGTGAGGGGAGCCCCTGGCTGCCCCTATGCATAGGAGCCGGAGGGGGGACATGCCGCTGCTTCTGGGAGCCGCGTGAAGCAGCTCCTGACCCTATTCCCCAACTGGAGCGGGGCAAGCCACAGATCCCACTCTCCAACGGGAGCTCGAGGGCCGGATTAAAACAGCAGGCGGGCTGAAAGCGGCCCACGGGCTGTAATTTGCCCACCCCTGGTCTAGTGCCTAGCACCGTGGGGTGCTCATCCCTGAAGGGGGGTCTGAGACTCTACTACAACATCTGAATAAAGATTGCATTAAAACAGGACTTTGCAAAACTGTTAGTTAACAGGACTTCTCACTCAATGGAGATGGTGATATGTCATAGTTAATTTTGTCAGGTAGTTGTGGATAACTCTGTGGTTCCATTATCATTTTGTTGATATTAAATAAGCACAACAGTTGGGCTTAACATATTGTTATTAGCAGGATTCAAATTCAGGTATAATCCCTCTTCTGCCATGATCTAAATGTTTAGCCTCAGCAAGCTCACAGTGTGATAATTTTCTCTCGTATGGAAGCTCATTTTTGAGCTATTTCCTCTATTAAATTGAATGTATAATGGCTCATTCTTTAAACCAATAAGAAAAACAGGACCACAAATTCTGGAACTTGGTTTGACATTTTTCTTATTGACAGTTGTGAATTCTAAGGCCAACTCTTTGTTATACCAAAAAGAAAATTCACAGGTAAAAAACCATTTTATTATTTAAATTTTTGTCAGATTAAAGCAGGATTTAGGCAGATGCTACATGTGTCCAAACCCCCCCAAAAATGCAGGTATCATCAAGCTTAGTTTTAGCAGGCAGAAGAGCTCTTTCTAGTTGAGACTGGTACAATTAAAATACTCTAAATATTGTTCTGACCATGTTCCTCCCTGGACTTCAAAGTCCCTAATGCTTTCCGTGGGAGAAGTTCAGGCCAAAGCTTTTTGAACATCTAAACATTACTTATCCTAAAGTTGTTTTTTGATAAATCTTGACAAAAATTTAAAGGAAAAAAGTGCAGACAGTATTTCACAATGTATTTAATGATTTCAGCAGCTGGAACAGTACAAGCTCCATTAATTTTTGTTTGATTATAGTTTTCTATTACAGTACTCTAAACCAATGGTCTCCAAAGTGTGGTGCGCGCACCCCAATGGGTGCGCAAGAGGATCCTTGGGGTGCATGGCCAGAGGAGCGCTTCCCCCCCCCTTTGTCAGGCCGGAGGCTGAGCGTCTTTTTTTTTTTGCTTCGGCAATTTGGGCGCTAGAACTGGCGTGTCGGGGTGCATGCTCAAAAAAATTTTACTGATGGGGTGCGCGATCAAAAAAGTTTGGAGACCACTGTTCTGAACACCACAAAACAACTTATACAAATACCTCAAAGGAAAAAGAAATGACCAGTTCAGTTTGGTTTGTCCAGGTTGAAGTTGACTAGCCACCAAGAAATAAGTAAATATTGATTACACAAACTTAGGCCAAGGGTGGGGAAAGAGTAGGAAACAAATTTGGGGCTAGATGGGCCTTTCTGATGGGGCCAGGAGCAGCCCCCCCCCACCCCCATTCCTTTTCAATTCAGAGTTTTTAAAACTACTTCAGAAGGGCTCTAAGCTTATATCTCAGCTTTTTAAAGGGAACATTTTGAAGTGCACATACAGGGCCAGATCCTCAAACCTACTTAGTTCCCTAACTTACATTGAAATCAACAAGATTTAGGCACTTAAATACCTATAAGATTCTGGCCTCTAACCCTTCAATTTTTAATATTTTCACACTTCTTCCAGAGGCATGGGATTAAGTTTATTGTCTCCTCCATATTTTAAACAGAGTTGAGTTGTGGATAGAGGCAAAGAGCGTGGTAGGTAAAACTCTTAAAGAGGTTCCAAAGTAAACCAAAACATCCAGCTCACTCCTTCTGCAATCGCTGCTTCATTAAAGGCTTCGGATAAGGATTAATAAACCGTGCCTCCTTTAAAGGCAATATTGATAATCAGGATTTATTTTATTTTGGAATAAAGTGTTCATAACTTTTAGGTGGAGCATTTTACAGAAGAGGTCAAGGCAGCTGCTACAGAATTTTAAGATGCCTACAGAGCACCTCCATACCAAAACTTTGCAGAGTTTATCCTACGGAGCTGTTCCCACTTTTCAGTTGGGAGCTGGAAACTGTGAGATTGTGTCAGATTACTCCAGCAAGCTGGAGGGTGGAAGAGGATAGGATTAAACTAGCTCATTCTGAATAGCTTTACAGAGTTTGATTAAGCCTCTTGTTACAGAGTATAGATGGTAAAAGTTCTGTCCTAGCTGTAAGGGGAGCAAGGCAACAATGTTAGCGTGTAGAAAGAACAGGATTGAGAATATTGTTATGCCATTATGTAATTAGATAATGTGCCCTCACCTGAGGGTCTTCAATTCATCCTCTCTCAGAAAGGATGAGACATTTAAAAAAAAGTGTGTCTAGAGACAAGGGCCTAAACTGATAAGACATAAAAGGTGTGTGGTGGGGGGGGGGGGGGCGGGGGTGACTGAAGAAAAGATTGGAACTATTTGGAGGAGAGATGAATAAATGAAGTGATAGTTATACAAATAGTGGTATAGCAAAGGGGAAATTGGGTTCTCCTAATAAAAGGAGAATTCAGTAGTAAAAGTAATAAAAGGCAAAAAGCAACAGCGTCCTGTAGCACCTTTAAGGCTAAGATGTATTGGAGCATAAGCTTTTGTGGGTGAATGCCCACTTCGTCGGATGCATGTGATCCGACGAAGTGGGCATTCACCCAATTTGGGCGCTAGAACTGGCGTGTCGGGGTGCATGCTCAAAAAAATTTTACTGATGGGGTGCGCGATCAAAAAAGTTTGGAGACCACTGTTCTGAACACCACAAAACAACTTATACAAATACCTCAAAGGAAAAAGAAATGACCAGTTCAGTTTGGTTTGTC